AAGGGTAACTATCCAGTTACCACATGAACCAGCAATTCCACTCCTAGGTATATACCCCAAAGAAATGAAAATCTGGGTCCACACAAAAACTTGCAGATGATTGTTCAAAACAGCATTACTTACAAAAGCCAAATATGGAAACAACCTAAATATCCATCATGGGTAAATGGACTTACCCATGATGGGCAAATACCATTAGGAATGGGTAAATAAAATATGGTATATCCATACAAGGAATATTCAGCAATAAAGAGAAATGAAGTACTAATGCATGCTACAAAGCTAATGACTCAAAAGTGGTAGGTTAGTTGAAAGACACTAGTCACAAAAGACCACATATTATCTGATTCTATTTATATGAAAGGTCCAGAATAGGCAGATCTATAGAGACAAAAGGTAGATTATTGGTAACCCAGGACAGGGGCTTGGGGTGAAATGGGCAGCGACTGCTAATGGGTACAGTATTTCCTTTGGAGTAATCAAATACTATAAAACTCATAATGGTAATGGTTACACAGTCCTGCAAATATGCTAAAAACCATTGAATTTACACTTTAAATGGGTAGATTATACGCCATGTGAATTACATCGCAATAAATCTTATTTACTGTTTTGTTAAGAAAAACAGAAACAAATCAAGCATTAGAAAAGTTTCTATTGCTTAGGTTCTATCTAATAGACGCAGCCTCTGCTAGACTTCCCTAGGGCTTATGGATGGCAAGTGTCAACAGGAGCTGAGACCACTGTCATCTCTCCAGTGACCCCTTCCAGTGGCTCCAGAAAAACCAATGGACCAAACTGTTGTCTCCAGAAACAATTTAACAGAATTGTCAGCCAGAATCCACAGCCAAGAAAGCAATAGCCCTGCATGTATGTGTACAACGCATATGTGTAGGCAGCACAGATTTTCCTGAAGGCCAAGTCCAGTTATATGATATCATTTGGGAGGGTCACATGTACATTTGCATCTGGTTTGCATCTAATTTGGAAAAGCTGACATAGATCGTGTACCATATTATTAGGTAATTTTTCAAGTTTGGAGTCTCAGAGTTGCTCCACTCAATTTGTTCAGTGGATGGACTCAGTTATTGACTGATGAATTACAGCTTGCTCTGGGGTTCCTGGCTTAGGAGGGGCAGCCTGTGGTCATGCACGCTTTCCTGTTCTGTGCTCCATGCACACACAAGCCAAGCCACCATTGGGGGGCAGCTCTTAACCCACAGGGAGAGCCTCCTTCTCACTAGCTGGCTTCCAGCATAGAGGAGGGAGGTGCATGGGTGAGGATGAGGTGGAGGGAGCCCACTCTAGCTGATCCCCTTCCAAGCAAGGCCTACATGGAGGGGGCCTTCCAAATGGAACAAAAGGGAAAATGACAGAAGAGAGCAAGCATTCCTATTTATCTAAACACAGGATCAAGATGTACAGCGGGAAAGTGAAATTATGCTGCAATTTTGAAAGTCATCCACTGAAGATAAACTCTCCTTTCAAAGGAATTACTCATTTCACTCCATCATGATACCTCAGGGTCTATCAGTATTCAAATTTATTAAGCAATAACATGCAGAATGCATGATATAAAGGGCCTGTTTCATCACCCATTCCCCACGCTATTTTTTTTTTTTTTGCTAAGTCATGAGAAGTGCAGCAAGTTAAAAATCAAACAAAAACTAACAAGCACACACACACAAGATGGAAAAGAAATCCTCCATGGAAGTTACTATGAAACAGGCGGCTTTAGAAAGGAAAAACACAATCTCTGACTAATATGAAGGAGACTCCAAATTGCTCTTGGCAACAATCTCTCAACCCGATTCCCCTCCCTCTATTCATCTCCACAGTTCCCAGCCAAAGGAAAATAAACTGAACAGCTCTCTCCCCGGCCCAACCTGTAGGGCTGCCTGGCTGAGCAAGGGCTGAGCAAACAAACATCCCCATGCAATTATACACCTGTGTAATTGCTGTAAACACTGGGACAGCCAGCTGGGTGCTCACTGCCCTTATCAAGCTGATTATCTCAATATTGGGGGAAAATGCCTTTATTCTGGCAGACGACATCAAGGTAGTATGCAATATGATCTTGTGACCTCAAACCCAGGAATTTTTTTTTTTTTTTAAGAAAAAAAAGAAGAAACAAATTATTCTTCTAGCAAGAGTCAGTAACAATTCTGGGGAAGGAAAGTCCCAGAGCATCACTCAGATGGGTAATAGCTTCAAGGCAAGATTTATCAGTTCACCTTCCTCACAAAAGTGATAGTTAATTTTAGAGGTAGTTATCTTACACCTATTACACCATTCAGGATGGAAGGAGAGTTAACAGGCCAAACGCCCCAGATTATTTATGGCTGCTCTGTCTCAAACATCCATCCAACACCATTCTATTAGGACAGATATGTCTGGTCAGCTAAAACGAAGGAGGACAGGATTCTCAGGAAATGGCATTGTAAGTGGAGATGTAAGTGGATGAAGGGTCTTTCAGTTGAGTCCTAAAACCGCCCCAGAAGGCCAAGATGAGCTGCTCTGTGAACCATGTATGGTCTAGAGACTTGGGTTCTAGTCTTGGCTTTGCTACCAACAAGTCCTGTGAATGTAGGCAAGCTTCTCTCCCCAAGGTTAAGGGCAGGTGCTTGAAGCTGAATTCGAGTCCTATGAAAATGCCATCCTGGTCACCAGGAAGTGGGCAGATGCATCAGGAGGATGACGCCCTGGGACAGTTCTCAGTCTGGCCAGCACTGATCCAAAGAGATGCCAGTCCTCTCATAAACTGTTTGAGCTGCTTCTTGTCATCTCCAGCTGGCAGGTGGCAAAAGTGCAGACTCTTTGAAACCCACAACTGTAAACCCTAAATGAATAATCTGAACAGCAGGGGCTCAAACGGCTTCCTGGGCACTTGGGGCAGAGGCTGACTGTGTTGTATGCACTCCACTGCATTCCCTTGAACCAGGGACAAGTCCTGGTAACTGCAGCATGGAGACTCCAGTTATTTTAACTTCCCTGCTCCTTCCTCTCCTTCCTTCTCCCTCTCCTCCTCTACATCCAGGCCTCCTGCTGCTGCTTCTCAGCAGCAATGCTTCCCAGGCTCCTTCCTGGGCTCCATCTCACTTCATCCAACCCTTTGAGGGTTGCACTATTACTACTACTATTCCCATTGACAGAGGCCAGAGATCCGGTCTGATTTCACTTACTGATGTATGCCCAGCACTTAGCATGGTACCTGGACACATACAGTAAACAATACAACAGTGTTGAATAAATGACTGATTGTTTGGAAAGACAATGACATTCAAAAAAAGTTAATATTAAATGTAACACATACTATTTTCTGTTGTACTATAATTATACCAGGGTGATTCCTGTCTCCCAATTAAAGTGTAAGATTCTAAAACATGTGGGGTACAATGAGTGGCTTTGAATCCTGCCTCTGCTACTACCTGGACAATGTACTTAATCCATTTGAGCCTCAGTTTCCCTATCTGCAAAGTGGGGCTAATGATTCATATCTGATGTGACCTAATATGAGTCTTTTTTGGGAGAGTGGGTTCTTTGTCTATGCAGCTCAGGTTGTGCCTTAAGGGGGAGGACGGCACTGGGGGCTACTTTCCTTTCCTAGCGTTTCACCCAGTGGGGGTTCCTGAGCCTTTCTAAGCCCAGAGAGGATTTAACTGGGTGAAAGAAGGGGGACAGAGGGAGTGGAGCTGAAACTTGAACCTGGCAGAGCCTTTACCACCTCCAAGCCAGCGCGCCCCTCCCCCTTCCAAAAAATCTTCATCTCATCTGGAGAAACTGCCCGCTTGTTTCAATCACTTCCTTTCCATTTTCAAAATTCCGCATTTAGAAGAACTGGAAGTGGTCTACCACTAGCCGACCAGTAAGTCGCTGGAGTGGGGCTTCCTTCTGCGTGGAGCTGGGTACCAGCTATTAAAAGAAAGAAGGCAGCCACCCGCTGCCTACCTGCCTGTCAGCACACAGCCGGGACAACGGAAGCCAGGAACAGAAAGGAACGACCCCGGAGCCCTCACCACAGAGCACGGAGTGGTGCACCCGACGACGCTCCATGCTACGCGCAGGGTGGGCGGCGGGAGCTGTGGGTGCTGGGATGGGGGGAAGCTCTCTCCATCGTTCTTCCCAGGCCAGCCCTGCGGCGGCTGCGCCCGCCTGCAGGAACTCAGGCGCTCCAGAGGGTGACGCGGGCCCGGGCGCCCGCGGGAGTAGGGACGCACGGGGTCAGTACTTACGCGCCACCCACACCGGGCCGCCTCCGGAGCTGGAAGACTTGCCTTCCAGCTCGACTCGCCTGCTCGGGTGGGAGTGCTCCCCATCCACTCACCCCCAGGTTGGCGCTCAGGGAAGGGCCCCCCACCCACCCAGTTCAGCCCGCGATTCAAGCCCAGGGACCTGACGGGACTCCCGCCCCTCGCCGAGCTGGACTTCTGCCAATCGCTCCTTTAATTTCCACTCGTATCGCCGGACCTCGACTTTAGCCAAATTGCCATGGCTTTTGTCCCCCCTCCCACCCGCCCCCAAGTTTTTCATCTGACGCTCGGGAGAACCAAGCATTCTTGGGGGAGACAATTTAAACTACCAATGTACACCCGCAACTCCCTCTCGGAGTGCCCTTACGTTCCTTCCGCTGGCCCCTCGCCCCAAAGGAGCCCGCTGGCGTGGGCCAGCGGTAATGGGGCAGCGGCAAGAGTTGCTCTCTGCAGAGTTCCAGATCCTCTCTCCTATTTCGGGGGAGGTGCGCAGCCCCACGCCCCGCAGGAGCTCCGGCGAGGCGGGGGTTTGCACGCCTTGCGGACGCCGCCACCCGCGCCAGCCGGAGCCGCCCCGCGGCCACCCGGCCACAGGGTCCCCGCAGCGTGTAGCGAGAATGCCCGCAGCGCCCGAGCTCTCCCGGCCGCCCGGAAGGGCTTCCTCCCCACCCCCTCCCCACGGCCCGGCCGCTGGGCTCCCCAGAGCCCCGATCCCAGCCTCGAGGCAGTCCGAGTTCGACGCAGACCCACCTGGCCGCCCGGGGGACGCCGCGCTGGTGCCCGGGCAGTGTCCTGAGCGCCGCCAGGGTCCCAGGCTGGGAATCCACGCGGCCGCGCTGCTCGGGGGAGCCTGCTGCAGCCGACGGGAGGTTGTCATTGATTCGTGCTGGGCGAGTTAAGCCATTCCAGGAGTGGTTTTGAGCGAGCACTCCCTCCCCTCCCTCCAACCAGAAGTATTTGGCCGGGAGCCCCTTTGGTCCACCTGTACTGTCAAGCGCAGGACAGGACGATCTCACCACTCGCGCTTTACGCTTCACTTTATGACACCAAATTAAGCTCTTTGGAAAAGGTAAAGCAGAAATAAAGGCAAGGGCGGTGGAGGAGCTTTTCTTGATTTTCTTTTCCCCTCTTTTCTCCCGGGTTCCTCCGTTTTGTTTTTTGTGGGTTCCCCCCCCCCTTTCTCTAGTACTTCATAAAATGACTTACCACTTATCTCAAAGCAAGGGAGGCTTTTTATTATTATTGTTTTATTCAATTCAGCGTGTCTGTCTTTTTAGAGGCAATTTTATTTCCATTTGCCTGAAACCTAAGCCCAATAAAATTACTAGAATTATATGTTTTCTCCTTACAGGGTCGTGAGTGTAACTTAACCAAATCAAACACTGCACAGCAATCCTTTAAGTAACAAAAAAAGAGGGAGTGCAGGAAGTAACCACAGAACTGCAGCTCCCTCCTCCGCTGGGGGTCATGAGACCTTGTGGGTAGGACCCACAGACACCCCTTCCCCTCAAACAAACACATATCACGCAGGCTGACTCAGAAATGCCAACCGGAGGTTCCAGCAGCCCACACTGGGGTGGGCCAGCCACCAAACACAGAGGTGTGGCCAAACACCCTCTCCCAGGCCTTTCCTTCAAACCTCACACAAACTTTCCCTTCAAGCCTTCTTGAAAACTGCCACCTGGGAGGCTCTAGCCAGCTGGGTGCTGTCAGGCCTCTTTTACCCTGGAACTGACGGGTCACCTGGAGGAAATAACCACTAACGCCTTGATACCTCTGCTGACTGTTCTCAGAAATGGGGGGAGAGCCAGGGGAGCGAATCTTTCCTGTTGATCATCTTCCCCCCGTGTCATGGAAAACAAGCACAAAACAAAGGAGTCCAATGAGGTGCTTGGCCTTCCGTGGCCTCTGCCACTCTTCCTGGGCAGGCCATGAGCCTTAAAGCATCCTGAAACCAGAAGTAAATCTCAAAGGTACATTGGCCATGAAGGTCCAGGGATGAGGTTGTGATTTGCAGAATCCCAGAAAGATGGTACAGACAAAACTATCTCCTCCAACAGGTGCCCCTTGCCTGAAATTCCAATGTTACAGATTCATTCCTTCTTGGGATATGCCCTGCAGGAAGCCTGCCCCAGAGAGGCAGGCAAACTTGCTTCAGGAAGGCAGGAAGGGTCAGGTCTGTCTCTGTGGTTCCCTGTAAAACTGTGAATACCCACCGCTGCAGGCAGGGGAGTAGGCGTCGCCACAATGGACTAGAATGCATCTGTCAGACTCTCCATGCTGTGGAAAGAGGGCTGTGGACTGCTGCGCCAGGGGAGAGAGAGGCTGGGCGGCCAGGATGTGGTGGGAAGAGGCTGCTAGGTCAGGGAATTGGGTGCTGAAGGGAAGAAGCGGGGGTGCTTCATCAGAGCAGGTGGACAGTTTGCAAGATTGGATGACTCCATAGCTTTTTATCAAAAACCAGGTACTCCCGGAACACCCAAGCCAAAGACTGAGAAGTCAAATCCCTTTGTCCACAAAGGCACTAGTTAAATATCCAATGAAGCGTAACTCCACACTCCACTCCCAGACCCAGGAGGTAAAGGTGCCAACACATGACCTGGATGGAATCAGTATGAATCCAGAAGTGTTTGCTGAGTGCCCATAAAGGGTTTGCCTCAATGGCCTGGGTGGAGGTGGGGTGGGTGCAGTGCAGTGCCAACCTTGGAGCCTCTCATCTTGTGGAGCAGATAAAGCACAGGCGGACTGGACAGTGGGGCAAGGTGCATCCACCACCCCGTGGGTGCATAAGGAACAGGGCAGTGCTTTTGCAGAGCAGTTAGTAAGGCAGGCTCACAGGGACCGGGCTCCAGGAGGAGTGAGGCTGTCTGGCCTGGAAGATGGTGCTGCAGGGAGCAGGAGAGGAGGGCATGTCAGGTGGGGGAGTGGAGGCAAGAGGGGGGAGTCACGGAGGAAAGCCAGCAGCTGGCCTGGCTCAGAGGGTTCTCTCAGTGGTTACGACGACAGGAGGGGGTCTATGGGGTAGAGCCAGTTTATGGGTACAGCTTCCGGCTGAAAGGAAAGAGTACAGGGCAGGGCCTGATTTGGAGAGGAGGAAGGATGGGAGCACCTTTTCAAATCCAGCTGGAGCGGGATGTGGGAGGGAAGCTGTAGGGAGGGGTGTGCAGAGTTGAGGTGCCCAGCCCAGCCTACCCCTAGGCGGCTCCTCCTAGCCAGGGCTCCAGACCCTGGACTGGAAGGAGTGTCTGGGTAGGCTATGGGTGGGGCCAGGGCCAATGATATTGCAGCCAAGAGCCTGGGGAGAGCTGGCTGCTGTCCAGCCCACCGGCTGGGTCCTGCAGTGGACAGTGAATGCCACTCCTCCCTCCCCCTAATCACTGTGTGTGTGTGCCCTGCTGGGACACACCCTTTGGAATGGCTCTGGGCACAAAGTGGGGAGCGCCGCCCCACCAGCTCCAGCCTCCCTCGGTGCCAGCTGCCTCCTGGGAACAGGAACATAAAGCAGTCTCAGTGAAGTGGGTGGGGAGAGGGGGCTGGGGGAGGCTCCCAAAGCCACCCACAGAAGGGGCTCTGGGTGCACCAGACTCCAGATCTGAGTGTGCATTTCCTTTTGGGTCCGGGTTCCATCCTAGGCCCTCTTTGGCCTCCTCCTTCTCCTCCTCCTCAGCTCCCTTCCTCCAGCCCTAGCCCTTCTCAGCCCCTACCTCTGGCTCCCCGCCTTCCCAGTTCAGGTCAGCCAGAGCACGTGGAAGCCCGCTGGCTTCACAGGGCAAGGCTGCCCCGACTTTCACAGCTGGCTCCAAACTCAACTCACTCGTGTTCCAGTGAGGATGAAAGCTCCTACTTCAACCACCAAGCATGGCTCAGAAGGCTAAACAGAAGCACATAAGCAAACATGCTACTGTCTTAACTTGAAACCTCAGCAGGGCCTAGTCATCGGCTGGGGTTGTGATGTAGGCACACAACAGCTTTGTGCCCACAAGCACACACAGATACAGAGTGTCTGCACACATGTGCATAAAGAGGCAGACACATGTATGAGCTCTGTGATCTGCAGAGAGTAATACTAATATTGATGAGGGCCTCTGCCCTTACTCCTTGCAACCACACGGTGAGGTAGATCTTGTTATTTCCTCCATCTTACTGATAAGGAAACTGGGGCTCAGAGAGGTTTCACAACTTGTTTAAGGTCCCACTGCCTGACATATGATAAAACTGGACATCACACTCCATCTTTGTGATTCTGGTGACCCAAGGCAACCCTGGGGTTCAAGCTCTGGCTCTTTGTCTGGTTCATACAATTGGTTTCCTAAGGGGCAGTGTGGTTTGCTGATGCATGCCTCAGTTTCTCCTTCTGAACAAGCAGAGTAATGACTCTTCCTGAACCCGAGGGTATTGTTAGGCAGAAGGAGGCTGAGATGGAGGTTGGCCTTTGGTAGAGTGCTGAAGCAAGTCATCCTACAGGATGACTGGTATGTGCAGACACAGGATGAGTGGTACTCAAGCCAGAAACTCAGCGCCACCCTTGCTCCCTCCCTCTCCTTCCTGGCCCCCACCCCCGCCCCCAGCCAAACCATCCACCAGCGAGTCTGTCTCTAAAATAGAGCTCGAACCTACCCTCTTCCTGCCACCTCTGCCACTGCCGCCCTTGGCCAAGCCTCTATCCCCTCTCACCTTGACTTCTGCGGGCACCTCCTAAGTGGTCTCTCTGCCCCATTCCTGTCCTGCTCCTTCAGCCCAAAGCCACACGACTGCCAAAGCAATCCACTTAAAACAGGTATCTGGTCCTGTCATAGGGCACTTACATGCACTTTATACTACTCACCATAGCCCGCAAGGCCCTTCTCTCGCCAAACTCCCCGCACCCCATACTTCAATCACAGACAGGCACCTCTCCTTCCTTCTCCTTCCTGCTGTGGGACTTGGCTTATGCAAATTTCCCAGGCTGAAATGCTCCCCCAACTTTGGGTCTTGCAGGAATGTCACCTCTTCAGAGAGGGCTTTCCTGACCACAGATAAATTAGGATCTTGTAGCCCATTATCTAGCTCAGACCCTCGATCAAAGGATTCATGCTTGCATTGATTTTATTATTTGACGGTCCCTCCCACTAGAATGTAGGCTACTTGAGGGCAAGGACCCATGCATCTTTTCTTACTGTATCGTGTCTGGTATGTCATTGGCCCCAGGCAGGTATGTGTGGAACAGGTGTTTATTGAGAGAATCCTAGATCTGGGAAACAGAAGGACTGGACCTTGTCTTGATGAAATTCTTCCATTGTAGAGAAAATTTGTGAACTAGCGGGGAAAATAATAGGCTAATATTTATGGCATCATGGTGGCATGGGCAGTGGGTCAGTCTTTCTTTTGCTGGAGTGAAGATTTCACACTGTATTTAACAGGCTCCACCTGTCATTCCTCCTTGTATTTCTTGGATGCTCAACAAATGTTTAATTGAATTTTGAGGAAAACTGAAAGAAAATGCAACCAGTTCAAGGGAGGAGGGACATACCAAGCATTTTCCTTTGTGGCCCCTCTGGCTTCCTGTCCAATCACAGGCTATGACCTCACCGTTCTGAAGTCCACTGTTTGTATATTAGCACCTGTGGATTGTAATGGCATGGCTCTATCACTTTCATCCACAGATCAGATTTTATTGAAATGTATTAAATGGCAATTTGAAATAACAATACATTGCTGTTTAGCATCGAGAACAGACAGGGAGCCACGAACTGAAGCTAAGCTACACTTTAACAGCCCTTTATATGGTCACTGAGTTTACCCAAATCTGTTAGTTGCCAAGGCTACATACATTTCTGCTACTGTGTTTTAGGGGGGCGACCCAGCCATTTGGAACCTATCAGCCATTTGCCAAACCCCATCAAACTCCTCCACTTCTTCCAGAACATAATGATGATGCAGAGAAACGGAGTCCTTTGGCCTTACTGGCCTTTGGCTGCCCTGTCCTGCAGGGGCTGCAAGGTAAGGAAGGGCAAGGAGCTGTGGCCCCAGAGGGAGGACTGGGTGCTGGCAGAGCCTGCCTCCCATTTAGGAGCGCTCGGAGACCAGCCAGTGCTTGTCCGAGGCCCTGGGGAACCTCCGAGGAGGGGGTGTGGGCCAAGCACAGGTGCTGGGTTGTTCTCTCTGCGGGAAAGTACCCTGCCAGGCTGGGGTGCAGGGCAGGGCTCCGAGCCTGGCTGGCTGCACAGTAGGCTGTGCAGGGTCCCAGCCCTCTGCTCACAGCCTGAGGGCCCCAGGGCTGCCAGGGCCTCGCCCTCCTCCCAGACTGTATCAGGTAACACCATCAGGCACCCACTGTGGGAGGAGGGGAGGGTGCCAGGCAGGAGCTTCAGCTAAGCCTGGCTTGTGGGGAGGAGTGGGGGGTGGCTGGGC